TTACCATTTTTTAAATACAGTGCGAACAAGGCTTAATTGTTACGCGTAAACGTAAAGTCGCGCGGCGTACGCTATGGTCAGAGCGGTCAAGGTTCAAAAGTTTTCAATTTAGCAAGAGGGCGCCGTTCATGCGTTATTACAGAATTTGCACGCGTAAATCGCGGAGAACGCTATATTGTGTTTATAAGTCTTTGACTGGACGTGAGTGGTGCATGGAGGGCGGTATGTTGCTTAATCTGGACAGTTATAACAAATCAGACTCGGATAAAGTCGATAAAATCCTACTGCAGTGATAATACTACTTTTTAAATAAGTCACTTCTCTTACATATCATGCTCTTGCCATATTATCCAATTTAAACTAGCATGACCAAATTAACACAGTAGCACCACAAGTTAAATACTCGTGGGGGTGTAGGCATATTGGAAGGATAATGATAGTCCACCTGCAACATTTAAACAGTATACTGCAATGGTAAAACCTGTAATTGAATTTAGAATACCAGCTTGGGACCCCTATCACTTGTCACCTAAATTACTTTAAGGAATTTACAAAAGAGAAACACGCATGAAAGATAAGACAAGAAAGATTGAATACCTAGCCTTAATTTAAAAATGTTTATTTATGACACATGATATTGACATTTTAAAAAATTATTTCTAGAATATACCGTAAGACATAGGCCTAAAGATCATTTAAAATTTTGTTCATTAATTTGCTTGCAGATGTATTATTATTATTTTATCCTAGTTTGTGGTAAGTATCCTAGCACACTGGAAAAACAGAGCTTATTATCTTCTGATCTAGGGAAAATAAGATTGGTTAAAACAGGAAATGTTTTGTTTTTCATGCAATTGAAAGAAATAGAAACTAATTAATTTTATTAGGATTCCCTGTCCCTGATAGGCCTGTGTTCAAGTTTTTTTTTAGTACTTTTCGCTATTTTATTTGTATGCTTTTTTGACCTCATACTTTTTCATCACTCTGTTTTTGTAATGTATAGATATAAATTCGAAATAAGAACAAACAACATTTTCTAAATTTATATGGTTTACAAATTTATGTTGGATTAAATATATAAACATTCAATAGACGGAATCGGCGGCTCGGGTCACGTGATTTATAATGACAAATATTATTATTACGTACGGCATTTTAGATGTACCATACCATGCCAGGCCTATTTTCACCAGCCTGTTTCACAAGTTTAGTTGAGCAATCGGTACCCGGGTTATTTTCTACTTTATTACCTATACTCGACTATAGAGATATATAGTCGAGGCATAACAACTTTCTCCCTCCTCCGGGCCCTGGTCAAGGCTTAACGCTCACAGTGCAGCATAGGCATGTAGTCTACCGTACACTAGGAGCATTCCAGAGCCTAAATAAAATGCACTAAGATTGCCAAAGTAATTATAAATCACTATTTAAAAAGAAACAAAGGTCTACTGCCTTACTTTACTTTGGGTCGCTGTCTAAAAAACATAACTCTCTTAATATATCGTGTTCAATGAGCGCACTGTGGCTTACTATGTGTATGTTTATATTTTGTACCCACTATATGTCACGTGACCAGTAATAGCTAGAGTCGCCTATTCGGTCTATTGTGATAAATATAATTTTTAACCTATGTTTTCTAAGTTCAAGAATACTATCAGCATATGTTGTGAATATTATATTTATAAGTATTTTTGTTTTATAGGAACGTTACTTCTCAGCAAAGAAACGCTATACGAGAAGGGCAGAAACTCCAAAAGAAACAAAAGAAAGAAAAAAGAGTCATTACAAATATGTAAAAAATAGGCCTACAGAAAAGAGTCATGTGAAAAATGGGTTGAATCGTTTGGTTGTGATCAAAGAAGTGTGTTTTGTTTGTGTTTTCAAAAGAATACATCTTTTGATTTGTTTTATGTTTGTAACGCTATATTCAGCAAAAAAAACCCCTCAAGGCCCAAACATGGGTCATGTCTCATGGACTGCCGACTGTAGATTTAAAGGATACATGAAATACTATTAGAATCCATTTCAAACATTGATAAAGTATAATTAATTTGCATTTGCGTCGGATTGAATAAATTTAATATATTTGATAATTTTGATGACATTGTGTACAACTTTATTATAACATCTTGGTCATTTACCCGGAAGTGTAGAATTCTGAAGCGTCATGTGCTCATAAATCATGTGACGTTGACGTTGGAGAAAAAAAAAATTCATCATCTTCTTAAAATCAGTATGCATCTCAACTTGACCCAAAATAATTTGCTGGTGCCATTGTGGGAGATAAAATTGATTATTACAAAGGTTGATTTATGATTCTTCCTCAGGGGCAGACTGCAGTTTAGTTAACATGGGCAATATCGAATTAGAATTGCGTTTAATTAATACTGCACCTTAAGGCTGTGTTTTATCACCGGTTATACTGTTCTCGCTCCGTACTAGCAAACTACAAAAGCAATAACCAAATGTTGTCCAATCATCAGATATGCCGATGACACTCTAATCTGAAAGGTGGCTATGGTAGCTATATTTATATAGATAAAATTAATATATTCATTAAGTAAGTCTATACTGATTACTTTAAAGAGAATATCATTTTAAGGAGATGATACCCGACGTCTAGAAACAGGCCCAAATACTGTGGGATTGTGAAAAAATGTAGAAGAGTGGTACTCATACTAAGGGAAATTATAGTATTGATAAACTTAATTGAAATACGCGATTAAAATTAAATCAGACAAAGGCAAACTAAATTGTTTAAAATTAAACAAATCCATTCTGCATATATCGTGTCATTTCACTGGTAAAAGCGTTATTTACAATTTCGGTATGTTTCCACTGTAATTCATGTGCATTGAACAAATTTGCAAGGATAGTTAAAGCCGCTCAGCGCTCGTGATTAGTATAAATTGTAATAGCAGCGCAAGGAGCTTAAATTAACAAAAATAATGAAATGACGAAACACTTTCTCTTCTAAACCAATATACATTCAGTCGGTATTTCGGAAATGGTACATTGCAAATTCTATTTTATTAGACTATCACGGACATACGCTTGCCACAACTGGGAAACTTCCTAACCATTAATCAACTCAAAAAATTGCCACTTATCTTACATTTAAATGTGGCAATTTCCGTACTAAGTTTAATTTTTAACTCGTAACATGTGGTTTCTTTAGATTTCTCGATTGTTCTGAACTAGCGCTCTGAAAACATTTTATAATCGTTTAAAATCGTTAAATGTATGTTAATATCCTTAGAAATGTTGCAATATAGTAACCAGTTTACTGAATAATTACATTAAGTAATTAATTATTCATATTTAAATAAATTTACTGTGTTTATAACATTATTTGACAAAGGAGAAAATTGTCCAATATCAATTAAGGCAACATAAGAAAAACAACCCATTAAAGACAGGTTAACGGCAAAATTATAAGTTAGGCTTAAATGTAGTTTTAGAGTAACACATCTCTTTACTAAGGTAAGTATTGTTTAAAACTTTCCGTAATGTGCTATTATTTTTTTAAAAAGGTATGGAAACATATACCTGTAACATATTTATCATATAATCTATTTGATTGATGTTATTGTCTTATATAAAATGGTTATGATTTACTTTTTTTTAAATTCCAGGATTTTTATAGCAAAACATGTTTCTCTTAATTTTAATTGTGGCAGTATAAATTATACATACATAAAAATGTATTGTTGATTTGTAGCATATTATGACAATGAAACTGTATGAAGATGTGCAGAAATGATTTAATCTTAATTAGGAATTAAAAGTGTCATTTATCGTTACTAATGCTGATACTTCCTGTTAATTAGAGTTAGATAGTTAATTGTATTTTTGGTTTGTAGTAAAATACCCTAGGACGAAGACAATCAGGGTATTTACCCTGTGCCTAAGATTGAGTCGTGTGTTCAATTGCAAAACATTGAATTGATGTCAAATATCATTTGTTTTGTTTTATTGAATTGCGGTTATGATGTTACTGTCCTGTTGGCATCTACACTCATTTGGCAATAACATTTAACAATAATATAAACATCTCTGTTAGTAAAGATTATAATGCAATGCATGTATTTATATAGAATATTTAAACCTTGTAGACATTTTTTTAATCTTTTCTTTTATTTTATCATTTTTAACATTTAAAAAAAAATTAAGCTTAAACATTTCATACATTTTTAGTATTAACGTTAGATATATGGCTGGTTGTCCTATGTTCTAAAATATTTCGTCTGTAACAAATACAATACTATGTAGATTGGAGGAAAAAACATACGCCACCATTTGCTAAAGATTCTATATCAATTATTATCTTTAATATATTTACATGATTACTTAAAATAAATATTTCAATCACAGAATATCGAAACAATTAAATACTGTAGTAAATTTTACACACTTTAGTTAACATGGTAACGTTACAATACAATACATAAACAAAATTAAATTTAGTAGGCCTGAATTATAGTGATCATCGCCAAATTTTTTGTAGTCATTATAATCTTATATTGTAAATTGCATTAAGAAAAATAACGTTTTTAGAGAAATTTAAAACTACATTCCTAATTACATATTCGTTATGTTTGCAGACAATGCTGCTGGAGCATGGTTTATATATCTAAACCTACAGTAGTCTGAATGCGATGTTCAGAAAAGTATGATATACAATACAACACGCACAAAATTTGTCAATCAGTCAATCAATCTATCAATCAAATAATCAGTCAGTTACTCAATCAGTAAAACAACTTATATAAATTTAAATTTAGGTTCTTTACAGTCGTGCATTCATAACTAAGTCTACTGTTTCTTCATACATAGACTGGCACAGATATGGGTTGCAATCGAATTTAATTCAAAACTACTTAACTATAACCCATTCTATCATGTACGGCAATTTTTCCTCTTTTAGAACCTGATTGATAAAACCAATTCTAAAGAATATTGCACTTGGTTGTTGTTATTTTTGTTTGTTTTTTTTTTTGTTTATTTTTTGATTTCTTTCTGATAATGGCTAGTTAAAAGGCGAGACAAGTAGGGTCACATGCTTGAAACCAATAAATGCAATTATTGTTTGTCTTCTTGTGTTAACTTCATTTCGCTGATGAAACCGTACATATGAATACAGGAGTGACTGCTTCACACTCGTTTTACTTAGGCTATGTGGTTATCTATTGAAATGTACCTTAGTTCCCACGCTAATATTATTCGACCAGATACGTTAAAGTAATCTGGAAGTCAAAACTCAGAAGGCATGCTGAAATTCTCAACGTGATTTTGTATGCAAAGAAGTTCATTTTCCACTCACTCTTGGACCTTTCCCGTCTATACCTCGGTACATCTTGCTCAGTAAGTTTTGAATAGATTCCAGACCTGCCCGTTTTGAGGCTCTCATCCTTAATGATCCATTTCTCTTTGATCGGTGTGTTCTTTTTTCGACGTAGGGTGGTAAAGCGGCGTCACTTACATAATTGTACTCTACAAATGGTTCAGAAATTTCGTCGTTTTGACTTACCGACGGAAAATCAACGTTTGTATCTGGAGAGCGCGCTTCATGATCATCAAGCATTCGCAAAGTCAGTCTTTCCAAGTCAGAAACATTCGGCTGAAATTCATTTCGTCTTAAGATTCGATCCAAAGTACCCGCATCAGTACTTGAGATTGAAATAAGGCACACGGCAATTAGTGCAGACAAGAATGACGACATTGTGCTAATACTGAAAAATAATAATAATATGTAAAATGTATATGTTATTTTTAATGTACACAAATACATTTATAATATTATATATATATACATATATAAATCAAGATAACCGTTAACACTATTAAATTATATATAAATCATTGAAGAAAGGTAAATACAGTGTTCGAATAAAGGACATGATAGTACATCGTGTATCATAGCTCTCAACGAATGTTGTCCTATAAATAAATAAATAAATAAAAATAAATTGTGTAATAAAATGCCTATGGCGGGACTCGAACCTGCGACCTCTCGCTGTGAAGGCGAGCGTCATAACCATTAGACCCAAAATCTTTTAATTCTTTAATTGATATCTTTGATATTTATCATATATATGACACTCGAAATAAAACAAATTATTTTATAAAATTAAAATCAACTAGTATTGGTCATCAAAGTATAGCATATAGAGGGCCGAAGCTGTGGAACCAACTTGCTAGAAGCATAAGAGAATGTAAAATATATCGATATTCAAAAAAGAATTACTAAATAAGAACATAAATAATTACAAACAAAAAATGTATCCTTGTGAAAATAATGATATTTGTAGAGTATGTCTTACCTATATGTAATGGTTTCCTTTCAATGATTTTTTAAATAAAGTTTTCCTATACATCATATTCGTGCATGACATTATGCATGTAAATGTATGCATGCGCACGTGTACTTGTGTGGGTGTGCGGGTATATTTGTGGGTTTATGTGTATGTGCGTGCGCACATGTGTATATTTACAATTTATGATTGAATTAAATTGTTTTGTAGTAGAATTTTTAAATGATTTACTATATTATAAATAATTTGTAATTGATTTGTAAGATTATTAAATTTTAAGTTAAGGGCGCCACAGTTAAAAAGCTTTTGCTTGTTTGTGGTGGTCCTTTTTTCACACCTTTAAACATTGTATGTTCATTTATATATTGACATTTTGATTTTGTGTAAAAACAAAGATTACTCAGACTCAGAACTGGGCCGGCCTGGAGCCCCTCTTTCTTCAAAGATAATTACTATCATACCAAATTTGCTAACAAGGCATCAAAGTCCGAAAGATGTAAGGATTGCTTCCCTCTTAAACATAGATCGCATAATATGAATCTACGCAATAGACACAAATTTCAGGAATACAAATAATGCAAAACTAATAGATTAGAAAATAGCCCGCTCCCATCCAGGACACCATTATTTGATAATAATACTTGAATGTGAATAGAATTAGTGAAATACTTCTAAGGTCGCATATATTCTAGTGTGTTTAAGTTTGAGGCGAGTGTTGCAGCTTCTGAGTCGGGGTGTGTATTTATGTGTTTGACTTGGTGGTGGGGGAGGGGGGAGTGGATTGGTGGGATGTGTTGCTTGCGTTTTGGTTTGTAATATAATACATGTGGGCAACCTTTCTTCAGCTCTGTAGTCCCAATCGTCTCGTTTCTTTGGTTTCTTGTTTCCTGATATTTGTCTGTTTTACGTAATTTGTAACTTTTTGATGTGATTTTGTAGGCCTACTTTTTGATGTTAATTGAACTTAGTTTATTATTTGGCTTTGATACATTGTTCTTGTGAAAGTAATCATTTTTTATTCGTATTTTTCATGTGATAATTTATTTATTTATTTTGTTTGTGTAGTCCTGTAATTTGTAAATTTTATATTAATAGTTGAACATTTTAACAACATAATTTGACAATTCAGTTTCTCAACTGCAATGAATTATTTTATGATTATATTTATTTATTTTAATGTTCTTTGGGGATAAAAACAGGAAACATTGTTTTGTAGGCCTATACATTAAAATCTTGCAAATTGAATAACTATCATTAATAATGATACTGAAACTTAAGAAAACACGTTTTCATTTGATACATAGATATCTAGCAATTCATTTATCTATCCATTTCCCTATTTTAGTATCTTGTGAGAGTCATATTTTGTTACGTATTATTTACCTATTTACGTTACTATATATATATATATATATATATATATATATCTAATAAAACAAATTATTTTATAAAATTAAAATCAACTAGTATTGGTCATCAAAGTATAGCATATAGAGGGAAGGTAAATACAGTGTTCAAATAAAGGACATAATAATACATCGTGTAGCATAGCTCTCAACGAATGTAGTCCTGTACATAAATGTATAAAAAAAATTGTGTAATAAAATGTCCCTGGCGGGCTCGAACATGCGACCTCTCGCTGTCAAGGCGAGCGTCATAACCATCAGACCACGGACGCTTCATGGTTGAACAGATTCAAATAACACCAGATACAATCTATTACACAATAGATATAGGATATATTATTATTATTATTATTATTATTATATATATATATATATATTTGTATATATATATATTTATATATGTAATTTCAATAAAATTATGAAAAAGAGAAATATTAATTTACAATATCGAATTGCTAAAATGATTTTTAGAGCACCTAGGAAATAATAATTAGTGGCTTAGAAGAGCAATCATTTAAAACATTCCAAAATAAGTTAAAAATAAGATGCTTCAAAGACTTAAGCCAATGTATTATGATAGATCATCTATCATCTCTGGTCAGAGGGTTATTATGTACACCACCAGTGGAGGTTACAAGATGGAAATCGATTAACAATATAAAAACCATTTTAGGAAATTATAATTTACATGAGAATTTTATAATAATAATAATAATATATGGGAACACAAAATTATAAATGGTTAAAATCTTTTGAAGGTACAAAATGATAAAGATTGTTTTCAAATCAGCAAAGGAACACGTTATGTTTATTTTTATCTCTCATAAAAATGTGACTTTTAAAGATGTATTGTCCCTTGCTAATGTCAAAAAATCATTAAAAAAATAAGTTTGAAATAAACTTGCTCATCTTGCAATAACATACAAATTATTAACTTTTGCATAGAAATTATTGAATTTAAAAAATGTGTACCCTGATTTTTAAACCAACAAATTATAATAAAAATAATAAAACTCTCCCAGTGACTGGAAGTGTTTCTATCATTTTTCGCTGTAAACTGATGGGTAGACATTTTTAAAAAACACTAATTTCTATGTTCAAGTTGTTAACTTTTATGTTACTTCAAAATGGGCAAGTTAATTTAAAAATATATATTTTTATGATTTTTAAAATATTTAGCATGGGACAATACATCTTTAAGGGTACAGCCTTAACCTTTAAAGGAAAAAACAGTACTTTGATTTAAAAGGAAATGAACGATCTTAAGCACATACTGCACATACACTGGTCGTTGTATAATTTGCCAGACTAATGAGATAGAAACTATTAATTATTTCTTATATTTTGATTATAAAAGCATAAGCGATAGGTTACTGACTGAAGGCGGGCAATCACTGCGCCCGATGGTTGTCGGCCGACGTGATTCTATGGAAAATGCAACGCCACGACGCGCGCGCAACGGATCGTTCCTAATGACGATCCGTTCAGACTGCCACCGACAACCAGCAGACGGCGTCGCGTCGTCTAGCGCTCACAGGGAGGGGAGTTGGATTCGTCCATAGAGATATAATAAGATTCGTCCTAGGACGGTCGCTCGGCGGTCATACAGCGCAGTGAGTGTCCGGCTTTAACATACCTATGTACAATTGAAAATTACAGTAACTTTGGGACACTTTTATTAGCAGTTCTTTTAAATTTAAAAACATCATTTACTCTCTCTACTCAATTCATCCTAGGGTTAGAGTATTCAAATGATAATCAACAGTCCACATGCGCCAAACTATGCATCCCGGTGTTAGATCGATGAAATCCATAAAGCGAAGCCCGCATATAATTAATGTCTGCAATAATTGTAAGATATAATAACATAGAAACAGTAAAAAGCAACATACTCAAAAACAAAAAATGCTACGGAAAAAGATGCCGGAGTTGAAAGGCATCTAACGTAAGCGTGAGTTAACATTTACAGTGGAAAACAATACATACATGAGATGCAATAACCAATACATTTTATGTTACATTAATATACATATATAT